AGAGGGGGGCTAGAACTATTTTTTTTTGTTTTGGAAGGGGGCTACTGTCTAAGTTTTTGCTAGGTCACTCTAGTTTTTCAGCGCCCCCCCCCCTCCTGATAATTATTGCACAGTCCCTAAATACGAAGAAAAACGCGTTGCAGATTATGAGTTTCGCTGCTAACGCAAGCGAGACTAAATATCAATTAATATAATTTTATGTCTGGCAACGCCACCTGTGGCTTTTTAGGGGATGGTTTTTCACAGACTCGAACAAAAGGCTATGTTGTGTTGCTATTTATTCAAAACATTTCTCAGATTCTGATGATTGGCCTTAAACCTAAACCCCGGCATGTTTGTGGGGGTGGGAGGCGCTGGGAGTACTCAACAAAGTCTTATACGGGTATACCAACCCTTCTATTGGCAATTTGTAAACTTTTCACATTTAGTTCGATTCAGAACTATGCATATCTTTTAGCTGCTTTGAATGCACTGTCTTTTTAACATGACTTGTATTAATAAAACGCCAGAACTCTTTCTCGACCTTTTTTCAGCCACTGGTAAAATTCATCTGTTCGTTAGCCCCTTTGGTCCTTTTTACATACCGAAATGCATTGGACAGATCTCCCTTCCCTTTCATATACTTCCCAACTAGTGAAATCCCTACCCTTTCTTATACATGAAGCTCGAAAACTATACCCCTGTCGGGGAGTCTCCCGTATAGGCCGTTATAGGGATGTTTGTCGATTTCAAGTCAGTTTAGTTTCATTTCCACCTATGCGTGGCAGCGCTTGTAAAACTTTTGTGAATTGAAAGTTTTAGCTTAAAGGGAGTGCATGAAAAAATGCTTAAAGAAAAATCCTAAATTATTTGCGTCATTTTATTTAAAACGTAACAAGCTGGTGCCAACATATGTCACAGGCATCTTGTTTATAGACTCTCACAAGAGAGGATCTTACTTACCTTGACCCTCATCATTACCGCAATTGTTAGGACTATCATTGTCTATTTTTTATTTCAATCAAAATGACTTTTCGGCATGAGAAAATAATTTTGCATTTTAAATTGTCATTTCGTTTATAGGTCTACAGGGCCTTTGGCAGCATCTTTAAGATAAAGCCGATATGAGCAGGTTGTGCACTGTGCTTGTGGACCATTCTTACTGTGAAATCCCCCGAGAACTGGACTCTTGGCTGAAGGGACTCTGGAATAAACCTCTGCTAAATGTGTTTGCTTTGTTGACGGATTACTGCCTTGGGATGGCCTATAATAGACGATTAAAAGGCGATTATCAAAAGATAGAGACTCAGGGGTGTCTTGACAAAGAGCCATATAATGAAGATCATGCTGTTGGAAAAGACAAGTCAAGAGCGGACTGAAGTCACAATCAGAGGAAGGAAATTGAACTGGATCGGACATGCGTAGAGGAAGGACCAACAGAACGTCACGCGGCAAACCTCAGATTGTAACCCACAGGGAAAATTTAGGAGAAGGATCGAAAGCTGAGGAAAACCCGCGCAAAGCTAAAAACCACTTGGAACAACGTATTCTGAGGTGTATTCAGGCTTTGATCGGTGCTAGCATACGTTTTGACATAATTCTTCAAGCACGAGCATAATAGTCACCTATTTTCCAAAAAAAAGCTCCAGATCAGTGGTTATTTTTACAGGCAAATTTTAGCAACAAAATCAGTTTTTGGTTAGTCAGTTGCTATACTGAGCCGTTTTTAGCGTCGTCACGTGAGCTTTGCGTGACGACACTAGAAACGGTTGTGTAGAAGACTAATTTTTGCTCTGCTTATTGTCTCATTCATGTCATTCATGGGGTTTGGTCCAAGAGGAAGTGACTCAGTTGTGACCCAGAACTCTAGCTTTGTACGGGCATAATTACAATGATTACCAAAGATGGCGTCCACGTGCTGGTTGTTAATTGTTTGAGTTTTTAGAGAACTCAGACAATGAATTATGAACATTGAAACATAATTTCTCCATTTTTTGCTAAAATGAGCGTAATTTACAAAAACTAGCATAAATATCATGATAAGCGTAATTTTGAAGAATATGCGAGCACTGCTGTTAGCTTATTACAAAAGAACTGATTATTATGCTACTTTTGCGAGCACAATCTGTCAAAGCTTAGGTGTATTAACATTTTGTGGAATGAGGCCAAACCCATGGCCACTGCCCAGAATTGCAAACGTTTTCGAAACGTCATCTGTTACGCCTCCTTGGAGAGCAAGACTGGGACTAAAACAGTTAAGTCAGTCGAGTCAAGATAACCAATGCACGTGGCACGGTCGCTATCTTTTGATTATTTAAGCTTCTGATGTAGTTTCTGTTGTTGTTGTTTCATTTCGGTTCTTGGGACTGACGGAAGTGTGAAATTGACCGGCCGGTCAACACTGGTTTTAAACGAACATTTGTGATTAATTCAACAAACATGCATAATTGTCGAAGTTTTAGTCATATAATTAGAAACTATCATACCGGGCAATTACTCTTCGCACTTGAGGTCTACTGCTTCTTTTTCTGGCAATGTGCATCATTTCCTCCAGGTAAATTTTTCTCTCGATGAGTTCGATTTCTTTTTCCAGTTGTTTTTTTCTTCTTGATATGCGTTCTCTTTCAGCTGATGCTGTTAAAATTCTACAGTTTTTCTCTTTCCTAGTGGATAAAAGAAAATATGGATCAGTACAAGTTTATTCTCTATAGATGAGGATATTTGTCCGAAAAATCGTTTTGGGGCTTTGGATAAATTGTCCCCAGATTGTTCGTCGTGTGGCCCTTATTTGGTGAGGGTGGAGACCTTCTTCGGAGAAAGCGTTAACTCCGGGAACATAAGCAAACTGTCGAGGATACTAAAATAAAAGCGACGAAAATACCTCTTTAATTCCTTTTTCTCGTTTCGCTTCTCTTTTGGTGAGCTCCAAGCATTTCCCATTCTAAAAACTCACTTTTTTTTTAAATGAAAGCTTCAGTGATTGTTATTACACCAGTCTTGTGGCCTAAACTCTTCCTTTTGTGACGTCACAAACAAGAAAATGCTCGAGCCCTTCGTTGTCGAGAGCGCGCAGTCTCTTTCTAAATCTAAATCTGAACCTGATACTGTGCAAGGGAACGGTCAGCGGGTATTCAGTCAACCGTTGACCGTCTACGTTTGTTAAGTTTACGCAACAGGATGGCAGGAAGAAGAGGACGGCAAAACACTTGTGTGTGACAAACGTGACAGGGTTATTACTTGCCAACCTCGTTCCCAGGGTTCTCTCCTACCCGCCCTATGGAGCGAGAGAGAGGGCGGGTAGGAGAGAACCCTGGGAACGAGGTTGATTACTTGCGTGTTGTTTCGTGATCTTCACATAACACCATTAATGTTTTCTGGTCCTTTGCAAAAAAATTCGTTTAAGGGAAAGTGAAGTTTGGCGATAAGTTGTTTCAAACGAAATTAGTGTCACGCTAGTCACACAAGATTTGCCTTTTTCTTTCCTGTTTGCCGTCTTCTTTCCTCTCCCTTACCGTCCTGTTGCGTCGAGTTCACTAGCCTAAAAAACGTGCAACTTGTTTCGCATATTGCAGCAATGACAAGTTTAAAGCGATAGTACGCGTCTTACAATCAACGTTCAAATCTTTCATGCAATAAATTAGGTTGTTGCAAGCCGTGTAGTACGTGAAAATTACGCCATACAAGGGATTAGGTCACTTGCCGCAAAACAAGCTGCATTGGGCTAGTCTGGGCAACATGAAGATATTGCAAAAAAAAAAAAAAAAATAGAACAAAGAAAATTACGCCATACAAGGGATTAGGTCACTTGCCGCAAAACAAGCTGCATTGGGCTAGTCTGGGCAACATGAAGATATTGCAAAAAAAAAAAAAAAATAGAACAAGTTGGTTTGTTGCAAGACAAGTTTAGTTAGTGGGTAATGAGCTGGGGATATTCAGCTCACTTTGTAGCAATGTTGCAAAACAAGTTGCTCGTTTTTGTCGCGCTCTTTACCGTACCTTTTACTGATCTATATACTACTAGTGCGTCATCGCGTTAGTGCCAGAACGCCGAAACAGTCCCGAGGACCGGCAGCTGTTTCTCGAAAGTCCCGACGATTAACAGGCATATGGGACTGCTGTTGTTTTTTGCATTCGATATCAAGGTTTTATTAGTGTTGCAGAAAATATGATAAAAATCAGGGAGGTAGCCAGGATATTTTTTTAGCGGTAAGCCAATTCTCCAAATCGCTTTCTCCCCCCCCCCCTCCCACCCCACCGAAAAAAAAAAAACTTCCTTGATTTAAGCAGATGCAGCACGGGAATCCGAATTGAAAAGTTGCCGATTTGGTCAAGTCTCGATAGATTTTGAATCCGACATCTAAAGTGAATCCAATGCCTTGTAAATTCGCAATGTTTTGTAGTGTAGAGAATTTGTCTAATCTGTCCGATACCTTTCCGCATTGGATCATACGAGTTTACACGGCGAGGGCAACGAAAACGTCCCTAGCTATCAAAATAAATGCGCTTTTTTTCTTTCTTTCCCTTTGTTTGAAAAACTTTTTCCCGTTTATTTCAACTGTCTTAAAATGGCAAATATAGGTCAACTTCCCAACGGAGTCTTGGGGACCGCACCCAAGTTCGGACTCAGAGAAGAAATTGAATTGGTTTTTGTGTCTACGTCGCCGAACAACGCCGCAAAAGGAAATTCAAGGTCTGGTTCGTACAGGTTTTAAAGAAAAGCGCGCTGCACTTGCAAAATTTGTTGTTTTCATTTACTTATTGGGCTCGTTTCGTTTGACGTTGTCATTGCCGTCGCCGCCACCATCGCCTTCGTCGTTGCTCCCTGGATTTATCGATGTGCGTAAACGGTTAGGAATCCGAGCACATTTTTAGTAAAAACGCCTTCCATCTTTTCACTAGACTGATCTATGTTATTGAAGATTCGGTCTATTATAATTAATGAATTACTTCGTGTCTCTGGAAACCGACATTTAGGTGGAGAGGAAAAAAAGTCCGTTGTTGTAGAAAAGATGTATATTTCAAACAAACTACCAGAGTTGAATGAATTGAGGCTAAGTGCTCTTAAAATAATTATCTTTAGATATTTTGCTTTCTTTTTAGAATTAACTGTTTATTTGTTATTATTTATTCATTTTATATCTTGCGTGTGTACGACACAGTTTCAGGTACGCACGTGCGTACCGTGCCGCGGAGTACAGGTAGCTACGACCCAGAAAATATCAGTTTAAAAACTGAAATCAAACTATAGATTTTTAGTAAAATCCAACTAGTGGTCTATTATCAATGCTGCGTTCTGATTGGTTGAGCTACTACTAGGCTATATGTTATAGCCCACTAGTAGCGAAAAGTGTGGGCTTTTTGATGGCAAAAAAGTATTAAAGTCTAGCTTTAACTAGCTAAAATTTTTTTATTCTCGATATTTTTGACCAACTAGTTGGATTTTACTAAAAAAATTCGTTCCCGAACAGTTACCGGGAATGCACAGGCTTGACAGGGGCCTGGGCCCCAGGACCGGACTGGTGCCCAGTCTCTATGGTTCCACTCATGCGCTGTTGCCAAGCCTGTGCCACATATCATTATGGCCGCCAGTGATATCG